TCTTCCGATATTTGGTCCATAAAGCTAACCGGTGCTCAGAATTAAGTACCAGTTGTAGTAAAGCAAAAGATTAAGTGAGGGGGGAGAGGGATGCTTGCATGTCTTTGCAACAGTGTTATGCTAAAATGTTTAACCTGTTTCCTACTTAACCTGTCTTATGGTGCACTAGTAAATGGATATTTCTGCTAAATAAATGTTGCTTCTTTCCATTAAGTGCCCATGGAGAACTGGAAAGGAACGCTATTTTTAAAAAATCCTATTAAAAGAATTCTCATAAAATTTGACCATAGAGGGGAAGTAATAGAACACCGCATATAGTTAGTTTCCAAATGCATAAAAAAATTAATGGAAACATTTGTTTAATCTCTGCAATTTTAGGTAGTTTTTGTAACGAGTAGGTAACAAATCCTTGAACTTTGGAAAGATGGCTTTCTTTTTTTTTTTTTTTTTTAAGTTGATGGAGATACTTAAAAAATACTGTTTTTAATTCATGATGGATTCTAAACAGAAGGCATTAGTTAGTGTTTGCTTGATTTCTTCCTAAGCTAAAAGGGTAATGAAGCCACCTGCATGTACAGAAAAGTCTTTATATTTTAAATGAGACTTACTGACAAATGACTACAAGAGCTTTTCAAGTGCTATTCACTCAATAGTACCTTGACTTTTTTCAGTCAGTATTTTGTCATCAGTATTCTTAAAAATCAGTCCTTCACTGGTCTCCTGGCTGAAGTTATAATGCAGTGTTTTTCAGATTTTAAGCATTTAGGAAAAAATTGCAAATTTCACAAATTCATGTCTTAATTGAACTTCTTATTTCATAACATATTGAACTGCAGTACGTTCTGGGGTACGTAAAGTGTTATTTGATGTGGGATTTGAAAAATCTGAATTGCCTTTGATAAGCAGGAAGTACTCAACCAAAAAAGATAACAGCTTCTGTCTGCAGTATCTAAGCTTCTATTTAGAGAAAAGTTTCTAGTGCTTAAGAGAGAGAACCTTCTAAATATGAAAGAAGTATAAATGGATAAGTTATGGCTTCTTAATTGTTCGTACTTCTAGCTCAGGTACTGCGTTGGTGATCTGAGCATCAGTAAAGTGAAAACTGACCCAGAGCTCTGTCAGTTTTTACTCTTTATGCTGAAAACCATGACAGTAGTAACCCAAACTGACAAGGGGAGTCTGGTTTCATTGTTTCTACCCAGTAGAAGCTGAAAATGTTTGCTGAGCAGGAGAGCAAACTTGGATATGGAGTTAAAGTTTTCTGAAGAAACCCATTACCCTTCAGGTTCTGGAATTGGAAGGGTGAAAGAGACAATACTTATTTCACCTTTCCAGCACCTACAGGGACTTTTTAAGGGGCAGGAGGTACGTGTTAACCTATGACTTAAGAAGTTGGAATCCCCAAGTAAGGCCTGTTGATAAGTTTAGGAGGAATTACAGTACCTCCCCTAGAGCTGCTGGGAGGCTTGGACTCTAACGGATACAAGCAGTCTTTGGATTTAAGACACAGTTTTCAGGAACCAATTATGTCATAAGTCGAAGTGTTGTAACTGAACTGACTTTTCCCATAGGAACAATGTTATAAGTAGGGGATTGGTCCCTGAACCAAGGCCCGATATCCTATTTTCACCAAAAATAACCCAGAATTTTATACTCATTCAATTATAGATGAGTAATATAGCAACATTAATGTATTTGCTATTTACAGTATAATCACATTGATTTGGAAGGACTTCTTTGAGGTGACTTTGCTGGACTTTTTGAAGGGTTCTTGGCTGGAGTCTTCTCAGGAGGCTTGGCTGCGGGTTTTTCTGGAGTCTTGTCTGCTTTCTTAAAGAAAGTGTCCAAGGAAGTTTGAACAGATGTTCTCCAGGGGGTGGGTGCCACAGTGAACTTGTTCGCTGGCGTGGCGTCATGTTGGATCAAGCGTCATAAAGTTGAAACAGGTGTCAATTTATAAACGTAAGTGCCGTTCGTTGTAACTTGAAACGTCTTAAGTCGAGGACTGTTGGTCATTGGGCCTCTTTCTTGATTTCAGTCACTTGGCTGTGAGAAATAGAATTAACGCTTCAAGGCTTTTGTGCATGAGCATTAGTGAACATGAGGGGTATGTGCATGCTTTTGGGGGTAACGGGTGGCTATAGCTTAGGAAAGATGGTTTTGTAAAGTGTATGGGGTAACAATTTACATTAATATTTGATATATAGATATTCAGCAACTAAATTTGTGGGTGGGGGAGGAATTTGGGAAAGGGGGTGAAGGCATCTTTCACACTGGCTGGTAAAATGTTCAAACCTATCTTGGTGTATAAACAACATCTTAATGAAATGTAGAGATTAACTGAAGTTAGTCTGTGAATCAGTTCCTCTTAAAAACTGGCATGAAAGAGTTCCTTTACCTTAATCTCATAATTATACCGTTTGTATTCTTCTAAGGATAATTACATATCCAGTGTGCAATCTTTTTTTCTAAGGACTGTCAAAATTGAAAGAACTGATCTTTCCTTCTTTCCTTCCAGAGTAACATTTGGTTTCACGGTGTACCTCCTTTTATAGTGGATAAGGAGAGGTAGTAGACCTGTGTTTCTTTAAATTACTTGCAAAAGCAATAGAAATAGAACAGTAGCATCTCAGATGATGAACCATACACTCCCCTAAGCATGCAGCTTGTTGCACCTACCTCTTTGATCATAGTAAAGGAGTATCTTGTCTGTTGGGCTGATAAGTGAAGGATCTGAAATATTAACACTGTTGTAGATTTTATTTTGGAGGTTGATGTATGCAGGAAGAAGCCTGTGAGCAGAGAAGTACTGATAAAAAAAAAAAAAAAAAAACATTTTCTAGTTCAAAGATTATCATGGCAGATTTGGGGGCTGTTGATTTAAATAGTTCCATCTTCAGCTGTAGGTATAATTTTAGGGTGTTGGTCTTGATTGTTAACTGGAAAGTCATCCAAATATTCAGTCTGCCAATATCAATTATGTATGCTCCACTACTGCACTGAGTATTTAGTACAGTTGAGGATCTATCATTTCTTAATTTTTGCTCAGCTCTATGCATAACATCAGATTAGGGCAAATTAATGGTCTGTGTATTACGACTTCACAGAAGTGGCTCTTTCCTTGAGCAAAGAGAAGTGTTGCATATGACATCTTCAAGTTCACTCTACACCTTAGTAGCAGTTAAAAGGTGTAGAGCAAGCTGGATAAGATGATGTAATTTAAAATGCTGAAATTATGAGAGTATAACTCATAGGTCTGGTTATGTTTCAGTGTAGAGTTCTGAACCTGTTTCATAGCCCAGGTGCTTCTGGCATACTATGACTGCTTCACTCTCTATTTAGAATGTTTAGACAAGTGCTCATCAACCCTTGAGGCGCAGACAGAAGTGCAGCTCCATGAAAGCAGAAAGCACCATGAGTTAGACTGACCTTCCCGGTCCAACAGACATTAGCTGTTGAGTTGGGAGGGTGGTGCTATCTCAGGATGGGAGGGGGGGTGAAGGCAGGGGAGGGAGGTCTATTCTGGGGTTTCCTCAGCCTGCGCTGGAGTAGCAGGTGGGAGGACTGGAGCCCCCCACCTCATGCACCTGCCACCCATGAGTTGAGGGGCACCAGTCCATCTGTCCCCACCTCCAGCACAGTTGGGCAAACCTCAGAACGGACCTCCCTCCCCTACCTTTTTCCCCCTCCCATCCTGAGACAGCACTATGGATGGGGTTGGGCTGCAGCAGTCCAGCTGCTGGAGCAGACAGAAGCTAATGAAGGTGCTCTGCTTTGAAGCACCTTCATTTGTACCCTCATATAATGAGAGTGAATTTGTTGCAGGATTGGAGCGCTCTGCTGCTGTGCTCTTCTCCGAGGGCATGGCTGTAGAACACTTTCAAGGGGCCAATCACACAACAAATATCATTTCTGTCTGCGCCTTTGATGTCTGTCTATTTCCCCCTTAAAGTTGCAGATCCCTGCTTTAAAGTGAGTAACCTACAGATCTTTACTTAGTCTGCTTCAGTTCTAATCTTTGTCGTTAGTTAGATAGTCATGGCTTCAGATGACCATGTAGTCTATGTGAAATGATTTGGCCCTGTTGGATAGGTAACATTGTGTAAGATGAACTGCAATAGATGTTAACCTGTCACTTTCAGAGGGGCATTTGAATGAGTATCTGTAGTAATTGAACAACTTTCTTACTCTTTCATATCTTACATTTATGCATCTCATAAGCAAATCTGCAAATACATTAACATTTTTTGAGAAACCTCAGAAAGTCTTGCTGATTTCCTGAACTCTGAGTCTAAGCACGCAGACTCCTAGTTGCATATTAAACATTAGAAAAGCTTGGTGAAAAGAGTGCAGTATTGGGAGTGATCAGCCTTATTTCTGCATGGTTGGTCAGCACACTGATTAGTAGCTTTAGAGAATTAGTGTTCATTTTCCACTTTTTTCCAGGTCTGAGATACCACTATAACTGCCTTTTATAAATATTGTAGAAAGAAGGGTAGATTTGTTCAGTGTCCTAACAGTGGATATCATAATGTAAGGAGAAATAGGGAATTTTTAAAACAACACACATTTGAATATAGCATTTCTAGATGTCAGAAGTTCCCTCCATCAGATTGTGAAGAGGGTAACACTCTTTTCTTTGCTGCAGTAAGAACATGATGTTATTTATTTCATAGGATGTGAAAAATGAACCTTTCCCTCTTGTCCTAATTATGATGATGCCTTTTTCCCTCAATTTGCAGAGTAGTTGAAAAACTAGTAGTGTTTCCTTGTGCAAAATAGAAGAGGCATGAGCCAGCAGTGGGA